CAGAAAACCGGTACCAATGCCGATATTTGGCGTCATTCAAAGTGATGGAGTATGTAGAACTAAGAAACATGGACGCAACTTCGAAAGATCCACTTAAAAGCAATAATTACGTACGAACTGAACAAATGAAACTTTAAGCGAAACATTAGTTGAATCCATGCCAGAACACTTAAAACGTGTAGTTGTAACTAAAGGATATAAAACTAAGCATTGAAAGCCGTGTTATTTTTATATATTTATTAAATATAAACTATTTATTCAAAGTGTCCGAACTGAAGTTCGTTTTCTGAACTTTTTGAATAAATTTGTTTTGCCAAAAATGTTTTAAATAACCTTTCTAAAAGCAAGCAGGTTTTAAAATAGGTGATCAACAGTCTATATGAAAGAAATACATATTCGTTTTGCTAATATTTAGTAACTGATTCTTGCAAAGAAAACTGAAAAACGTAATGTGTCCGAAAACAAATGTAACTTTTGTGTGTTGTCCAAAAATGGAAGATTTGGGTGGAGAAAAATAGTGACTATAGAAGTTCTGAATTTATCACTGGTTCAAATGTATACTAAATAAAACAGATGCATGTACAAGCACGAAGGATACCATCCCCATACCGTTGTTCTTCAGGTCTTCATATACGGTCTTCACATGCTACCTATCTAGAGGTTTCGTGCTTCAAGCTTCGAGAAGAGTTTATGATTTTGATATTTTTATATTCAATTATTTTGTAGGGGAATAATGGACTGAGACACTTGTTTTCTATCTTTGCTTATAATGTAGATTTTAGAATTTGTATACCGCTTCGCAGATGCTTCTTTTTTTGCAGATGCTTAATTTTCCTCATAACGTTTGTTATTTTTGTCCTAAGGAGGAAAATTCTTATAAGTGCAAAAAACAACTTTTATTTGATGTAGATGATTTCAAGGAAAGCATTCTGCAGACTTATTTGCTCCTGAAGAAGAGGAACCTGAGTCTGAATCATCCCTCAAAATCTGTACTGTTGATCATTGTGAGCAATGTATTTTCCAAGTTTTTGTATATTCGATAAAATACCCGGATTTCGATAAAAAATACCCGGATAGTAACATTATTTACGATTACATTAAGCGACGACTACTGTAGCTGTCATTTAAATTTAAAATGTGTGGCTATTAAAGTAATGAAGTCCCAAAAATTTACTTGAGTCTAGCTCCAAGTTAAAATGGGAATCACTGAGATCCTATTCACTCGACACGTAAGAATAAGAGATGATAGAAGACGAAGAAATATTACATACATTTTGTTCTTGCTCAACTGTTTCGGAGCAAACAAGATGTCTATAAGATTAATTATTTAACTGATAAGTTGTTAAACCAAATAAGGTTTTTAGAAAAGCGTGATTGGAATATTTAATATTTTCACCAAAATATCAGCTATTGGTTAGCAATAATGTTTCTCTTTCAGATCTCCATGGAGTAACATGACAGTTGCGAATTGCTTTTCATCCCACTGAAAAACGTACTCCTTATGGAGTCCAATCTTTATTTGCCGCATTGATTTATATATATATTCTAACATATTTACCGCAATCAGGCGGCTCATTTCCCTCGCTTTACTTTATAAGGCGTAAGTGATCACCGAGGTACAAATGAATTATCCATTTATACTAGTTCAGGAAACAAACCCTACGCTTAAATTATCAGATTGAAATTAAACTCGAGGAAATATTTCCCATTGCATATATTGACTGTACACAAACATAACTTCACCATCAGCTAGGCGCACGCGTCAGCCCTCCAAGTAGGAATCATGGCAGGCAGTGGGATGTGAGAATATTAGAGCGAACTTCTGGTAATTAAACTGATATATAACTGCTGACTCTACGAACTCTTAAGTTCACGCACCCTTCGGACAAAATTATCTCCGAGGATTTTGTACTGCATATTACAAATGTCAAACGTAATTGCATGCAAAACGGCAAAAGATTTCTTTAAATAATTGTTGGCAAGTGAATTATACAAAGTTATCACAACTGGAGAAAGAAGATATTTAGCGTCGCTGATTGCTGTCAAAGAGAAGGCATGGATGTTTTTAAATGTATAGTATCGGTGTGGAACCGACGGAATATGGCGGAACTCTAAATATGCGCCGAACCGAAAGTCCTCTCGTGTGGTTTGGTGGAAGGGGAGAGGGGTAGGAGACCCTCGGACCCATCTTCGGGGTGTTCTCCATCAAAATTGGGGGCAGAACTGAGCAAACTCGCACTGTCACCTGAATGGTGCTCAAGGCTGTTGCAAACCGCAGGCGTATTCTAGCGCTCCTTGCCACGAGGACTTCCGTGGGCTTGCACTGACTACGTTAGACAAGTCAGCATAAGCAACAACAACAGAAAGAGCTTTAAAAAAAGGCTAAGTCGAGCGACCACCCCTGGTGCCAAAAGAACGGATGTTTCTCGACGTATATTTAAAAAATTTTGGTTTTCAGGGGAGGGGGTCAACTAATTTTCTTCTAGAGAACCAAATACATTAAGGCCGGTCCTGAGGTAATATATTTCGTACCAGAGTATATTTCGGAGCTTGAAACTATACTTTTTTGGGAAGGGATCCTAATAAGTAAAACCGACATTATCGTGCCGAAAACAAAATAGCGGAAAAATTTATTAACATTCAACAAGAAAGCGGTTTGTAATGATAATAGGAGACGAAACATCTAATGTTATTTATAGGTGGAAAACTGAAAATGAATGTCAGTCGAAGGAGAAGATATGGTTAAAACGTTTGAAGAATAATCTGCTATTATTTGCTTATATTGCCTAATTTTTATTGCTGATTCCGTCTTTTTCCGATTTATTTTGACGTACGTTCTCAAAATATCTACTGCCATGTTTCCTTCACAAAAGGAAATACAATGAAATAATTTCGATAATCCGTAGACATATATTCTATGGAGTGCTGTGTGACGAGATTAAACATCTGTTACTTGAAAAAAATTACGTCTCTGGTATTATATTTGAAAGAGTATCATTATGGTTCAATGCTATGAAGGAAACTCTGTTAAAGAAAGCAAAGTTGGTGATGGTCGTATGATTAACGCTTTTAAACTGTCTGAAAGCGAAATGGGCTGAATCGATTGTGAAAGCAAAATATCTGATGCTGTACCTTATTTAGAATCGTTTCCTCGAATTTCATTAGAGATATATTTCTGATTCAATCAGATTCGCGGCAAGGTAAAAGTACATAAAAACTCAAAGCATCTTCAATAGAAATTATAAAATACAGAAAAATATAAAACGCCAGATACAGGTAAAAACATTTTAGAAATAATAATAGAGTTTCTACGCTAAAACAAGCAATTCGGTCTGCGAGTAGGAAAACAAAATTTTCGGTGTACAAAGTTGAAAGTTTACTTTTGGTACCACTCTGCAAAAAGACATATAAGGTGCAGAAATAGACTAAATTCACTATTATACTAAGTTTTAAATGTAAACAAATAGCAGTTCTTTAAACTTAACTCGCCGCTTAAAGTTTTAAATTTAAAGTTTAAAAATTTTAAATTAACTGCCACGGTTTTAAATTAACGCTATTTGAAGTTTTAAATTATTGATAACTCTACAACAGCTGCATGCAGATTAACTAAAGGCATAAGAACCTTAACCGGAACATAAAAACTACACAATTCAACCACTTTTAAAGCAAAAAATGCGCAATTTACCAACATATAAGAATAAAATACTGATCAAACTGAGCCGCAACAAAGTGTGTGTATATATATGCTTTCGGTGCAGCCGATTGCAACCAAAAAGAGAGGTGTGCAACTACATGTTATAGTAGTCCTATGTACAAAATTTCAACTTTCTACTGCTCCTTGTTCTTGAGTTATGCGAGATATATACAAAAAAGAGTCCTTTATTCTATCCGTAAATACAGATATCAAGTAAAGAAATCTTTTAAATGGAATCGAGAGCCGTGAAAATGGATATTTTCGTTGAAACATTATACCCAAAATGTTTCGCGATTATAACACTTCGTCTGCTTCGTAAAAGGAAGTAAAAACAGTCTAATGGTGGAAAAATCCCATTGAAATCAAAAGAAAAACAGATTGACGATTAAAAATATTATTACTTGCTCTAAGGCTGACGAAACATTGAGTGCGTAATGTGGAACGTATAGAGCCTGATCATAACAACGCAGTGTTAAAACAATGAATCTTTCATAGTTTCTCAACGAATTTGTGACAAGAAGGTGGATATTTATGTTTTGGAAAGTCTTCTTCTGACAACAGCACTGTAAAGTCCAAAACTTAAATTGATGGTGAATAATAAATTTTGTACATCGGTAATTTTTCTCATAGTATGCTGTCAGTCATTAAATGTATTTGTATACTTTTCATTTAGGAATTTGTATTCTTACAATAAGATCAATTATGTTCACAAAATTCTTTTTATTACATTATATTGAGTCCGAAATACGACACATTTCGTAATTCGGCATTATCAAAGACTTCACTTTACCGAATTATGGCATCTTTACGAATTATCGAATGCGTGCTATTAATTCCTAATATTTCAGGGCTTAAATTATTGGACTATGAGAGAGCACACGACGGCTATCTGTCTAAGGGGAGGGATGCCCTTTTTGGAAGACTTTCTAAAGTAATTACGAAATATTTCATAATAATTTTAGAATCGGTTACTTTAGAACATCTTACACCATGACAACTAACCGTAACTGCCGAGCAACAAAGCAACATTTCCCTAATATTTGGAGACTGTGTTACTTTTGTAAATTTTTTCGTTTGCTGGTGACATCATTTTCTCGCATCTGTTTCCGTGTCTGCATAATTTTGTGAACCGGATGTTTTTCCCAGGGAGAAAACTGGCCTACAAAGTAAAGAAAACACCACTTTATTCAAAACCATAAAAATAATAAACCGAATTCACCCGAGAGCTCTTTCTGTTGCCTTGTCTGTTTGTCTATTCTGCCCACGTTCCCTAAACTTATGTTCTCCTTCCCTGATCTCGTTTCAGACAGCGGTTACGGGTACCAGTCGGACCTACACGACGACAATTTCGTGAGAAGAAAACAGAGAAGGAACAGAACCACATTCACCGTTCAACAGGTAAGGAGTGAACATTCTATTTCCTTCCCCGTAAGAAAAGAAAAATACCAGAATTTACGCTTTTTTCTCAGTCATTGTCTCGACCTGCACCTGAGCTGAATTTGACTTTCGTACGTGATCGAGAATCTTCAGAAATTGTGTTTTTTCTATTCCAAATGCCGCTAGGTTGGTGTTCCCATCAAATAAGTTAAATGCGCATTTGCCACGAAGGAGAAAGGCTTACCCCACAGACAACGTAGGCAGGTAAGGATGTAGATGAAGTTGGAGGCCTTTCGTTAGTCTGAGTTGTAGAGAAGTGATATTTGGTGTACCTTTGTGAAAAATACCTGAGCGACTAAGAAAAGAGCAAAAGGTGAAAATGAATGGAATTTATGCCTTGCAAAGTTTACAGGACAGAGCTTTGTAATAAATTTCAAGAGTTTCATGTTTTTTTTTCATTTCATCCGAAATATTCTGTTGAAGCATTCTGAGAAAAATTTTATTCTTTATACATTTATTTTTAAAGTACACAGCGGTCTCTTTTACATTAACGCATATGTCTTTATTCAGGCTATTTTCTCCAAATATTCACTCTTTTGAAAAACAAAATTCCTAAAACTCCTTATCACAGATCATTACTGTTAAGATAAGATAAAATGTAACATATATTTTATAGGAATGTGTGAAACGATTGCCTAATTTAGCTAATGCATAACTCAAAGTATAATTTCACTTAATATGGAACTTTATCATTAAATTCGTCACTCAGCTATGCCCAAATTAGGCGAATTATTGTCCTAAAATAATCACCAATTGCTCACGCAGACAGATTAAAATTAAATCACAACACTTTATTTAGCCATTCTTGTGGGTTACCGATAAAGTTAAAAAATCGTACATTACAAAACATGGTCGATAACCTGTAGACGACACGATAACGAAATTAAGGCTACCCATGCTTTTGTTTTTACTTCTTACTTTCCCTTTTTTTCTTTTTTAGGATTACAATTTTAGAAGTATTAACTTTACTTAAACAATACATCTTATTGCTTCCTACTAGCTAGACATTTTTCATGTCGCACAAACAGGAAATCGTATTATCTTTGATCAATAAAAGCGACCATAATTTTCCCTGAGATAGCAAATGACCATTAACGATGATAATTATGAGTTGCAGTTAACTTAGCTCAATATTAAACTCACATGTTTTCAATTTGCATAACGTTATGGTTTGAGCGAATATGCGTGACGAATACATGGCATCCCAAAGCGTAGCTATTAGATACCCATATCGTGTGGATGTTATCTTATGTGAAATGATAAGTGATAATGAAAAAATTTGACAAAGATACAAATCATATGTACTTGTTCTTATTTATTATTCTGAGTCACTTTTCTCCGCCGCTTAAATAAATTCTCTGCCATATATTCTAAGACCATAATTTTCTTTGCACTCTTAGCAGATGTGAAAGATGTAATATTGCATTAAATTCTTATATATTCGGACCCTCACCGGTGTATGTCGACAATCACAGATATGCTTCGGTGTAGGTCGTCGAAAAGAGAAGAGTATGTGTACGCGCTGTCATTGTAAAAGGAAGTGTTCCACAAATAAATGCAGTTGTAAAAGCAAGGGCCTCTTGTGCAATTCAAAGTGTCATAACAGTTTAAGTTGTTGCAATAAATAAGATTTGAATCGCATAATTTTGTAAGTTTTTAACTTTTATTATTTTCCTTTCTCATTTTGAATGTACTGCATGTTTTAAGTTCTTATGTTCTTATTTTAAGTCTCAAGGGCGTTTTTTCCTGGCTGAATTACGGAGAACAAAATATAATATTCTTATATGTTCAACATTCACCATTAGTACATGGTGAATGTCGACATTTACCGGTATAAGACAGAAATAAGAGTATTTGGAAAATATTTAGGACATACACCAAGCGACTATGTGAATGATAACATTCATTGGTGGAAGTCGACATTCTCCAGATTTCGGTGTTTCACCGTAACATATGTACTTGCACAGAAGAGGAAAGTAAAAACAAGCTAATGCTTTAAAGCACATTTGATATTCCAGTTACAGAGTAAAGCAATTACACCAAGTATAAACAAGAATACAATATTAAAGCAGTAAAAGTTAACGCAGAAAAAACCTACTGTAATAATTACAACAATATATACTTCAAAAAACAAAAAAGTATATATATGTATGCGAACTTCAGATAATGTGCTATTAATATTTGATAAAAGATTTCAGGAGTGTTTTTATTTCTGATAATGAAACATAGTTTATTCATTGAACATAATTATCAGAGTTTAAAATTAGCGCGAATTTCTCGAGGCATTACATAAAAGGAAGCTCTTTCAATTAGAGCAAAGTTCGGATAACGGTAGAGAATGTAAAGATTTTCTGCAAATGAAGAATATTTAAGAATCTAGGGATGAAATACTTTCATTACACATATTATAAACATGGTAAAATAATTCCACTGCTTTACAGAATAAATATTTTTAAAGAAACAAACAAGATAGAATTTTGTAGCATTTCTAAAGATGACGCTGATAAATTTCTACAAAGAATGTTGCAGCAAATAAATATTTCCCCGTCCAACTGCCTTACAATATCTTCGGGTTTTAAGATGTCATCAATAAGTGAAACTCGTAAATTAAAATAAATTGAACTGATTTCAATACCTGATGCAGCTAACACATGGTGGACCTAAGACTTAAGCTAAACCTTTCTAGAATCAGAAGCTATATCATCCGCGAAGAACACGCCTATAATAAATAAAATGAAAAGGATATTAAGTGCAAAATCTCTCTTTTATCTCACAGTTAGAGAGAATTTGGACCACTGGAGAACAAATTTGATGTATATATGTTTCTTCAAAGATAACTGAAAAGTCTGAAATATTTTTTGAAAATGAAGAATTTAATTCAGTAGTTTTTGATTTCTGTTATTGTAATTCGATAAAAATATGTTATATTAATATATAACATTTTTTTTAACTTTCGAGAATGTAACAATTAAAATATATTAATAGAAATTATTTATATGTTATTAAACCTTTTCTATATTTTCGTTGAAAGTTTAAATTTATTTATTTACGTTCACATATTTTGTAAGGTTTTATTTTAATTGCACACTTATTTTATTATTTCGGCTCTTCTATAGATTCTACTTACATAAACTTACAGAAGAAGAGAAAAGAGTTTGAAGTATAAATTACCACCGAGGTTTCAAGCTATATCACAGAACGTTTGATTGGCTGTTACACTGCTTTAGTTACTTATCTTTAAGCTAATAACCTAATTCTTAACTAATAATAATTAATAATATAATAATAATAATGCTTTAGGTTTTTATTTTAATTGTTCAGTTGTTAGAGTCTTTTAATATTACTCTCATGAGTTTCTGATCGTCAAATATTTTAAGTTATGTTGGCCTTGAGATAATATTCGTTGATCTCCGATATTTACAAGTATCCTATCTGGTCAGACAGGATACTTGTAAACTCTCCAGAACATTATCAAAAGGTCAGCAACATTAGCCAATACCTGTCTGAATAAGGTCGGTGATATCTGTCAGCAGTATTTAGGATTTTGTAACTCAGACGAGTGACCACTATAAATACTCTTAACACGTTTTTATGATTATTATAAATTATCAGAGTACAACATTAAAATTAATGTTTATGTGAATAAAAAATTCCTGAAAACTTCGAAAACCATCGAAAAGAGTTTTACTTTAGTAATTTAGGTGATAATATATTTACTCATTAAATACAAAAGAAGCATTACTAGATTTGTCATTATGACTCAGTTAAAAATTATTAATTAAAAAACACAGGAAAACTATGTAAATATTTAAAATTTTTTAAACTAAAGAAAACTTTTGATTTTAAAAATTTTATTTGTTCTGATTTTCCGCAAACTTCAGAAAATGAGCATCACTTTTTTTCCCTAAAATTCTGAACAGCGTTCTTACAAATTAAAGTACATAATATAATCTATTTTTATAAATTCAACTGAACACCTATTTCGTTCATTTCGCCATTTAGTTGACGAATTCTAATTCTGAAACTTTGCACTAAAATCTCTTTCATAGTATTCTGATGTTACACAAATTAATATCACACACAAAATTACTTTTAAATTTTCAGGCATTTATAATCATCATTTTTGAAAATAATGGGTCATTTGATATTTGATGTTTCGGATTTTGTAGTATATCCAGAACTTTGAACAAAGTTTTGGAGTTAATGTTACTTCATCAAAAAGATTATCCACATTCAAAATCTAGCTCTTAATTTAGCTTTGAATCTTCAACAGCTTGAAAAAATTTGTCGAGTGTTGGAAATTATTTATTTAACAGACAGACTTAGAACTAACAATTTGCGAAATGTAGAATATTTATTAAAGCGTTATTCTAAAGCAGTAATTTCTGAAGAAAAAATATAATTGAAAATTCATTGGTAATCTTTAATCTGCTTTATCGAATTTTTTTTCAAATGTAGATGAAAGTGAAAGTCAAAAAAATTCTCATTGTATCGTGATCCTTTCATTAGTATCTTTTCTACGTCACTGAGTGTAAGCTGCAGCCAACTCGGTTACTGGCCAAATATTTCCCTGTGCTAACTGTTTGAAATGTGACTCTAAATGTCCTCATTTAACCGCAAGAAATTTTTAATTCGAAATAAAGAACATTTGCCATTTCAAAAAGGACAGTAGGCAGCACTAGCAGCAACTGTCATGGGGAAAAAAACCTTACCATAATGTAAACAGCCATCAAAAGTAATAATTATATGTAACATTTTTAAAAAGATACCTCTGAGATCCTGTCGATTGTACTTCTGGATAAGCAGTCACTCCAGACATTATCAGTATTATCATATGGGAAAGTTTTGGAATCCCATATATTTATTCCTACTTTATCCTGTGCCTATCGCTGTCACCAGCTACTATAATAGATATAGAAATTTAATGAATTACGAATACACAAGGAGATCTGTGTTTTTTTAAAAACTCACGCTCGCCCACATGTGGATGACATTTCTATTGATTTGAGGAAGTATTTAATCAGCCCATTTAATTTTTTTACAAGTGTCGATTTGATCGGTGTAGGGGGGCTAGCGATGGTGGCCGCTGTATCATAAGGCCTGGGTTCGAATTACGGAGAATGCACAGGTGTTTGTAAGCGTAGAGTGTTTTTGAGGCAGGGAGACATTTAAAATACCGGCCGTCCTGAAGTCTTCGCAAGGGTTCAGTGGTTAGTGAACAGGCGGAGAGAGCTCCCCAGTTCTGTCACCTAGGGTGTCGTCCATCAAAACTGGCACGGAACTTTTTTTTTTCACGGCTATAATTCAACCGCCCTCGTGCGGAACACCCTGCCTAACGTTCTCCGTTATACGATAGTTATATATAAATGGGTATTTGCTATACCCCCGATTGCATCAAGTTGCAGATATCGGGTCATTTAAAACAACGACAAAAACAACTGTCCTGAAAGTTTGGACAAAATGCTGCATTCACACGGGACAGCTATCTTTTAAGTGGGCGACACTGCAAAAGAAATTAAAGAGCTGGGGAAATGAAACTTGCTCTCTTGCTTTATAATAATCTCCTGCGTTTTCTGTTAACGTGTTCTATTTATGTTTGATAACCGAAATGATTTCTGAACTTGTCTTATATTTCTGCTCAAAATTATATCTGTTTCTATACAAATATCTCAAAATTATATCTGTTTCCGTGAAACATTTCCAGTTTTTTAGAATTGAAATGGTTTGCGTTAATTGGTATTTTTAAAAACGAGGTTTTTTTTTATTTTACTCTGGGTGCCTTATTCTTATAACAAATTCTTAGCATTATAGTGATGTGATGGAATTAATTTTTTTTGTTTCAGTTGGAAGAATTAGAAAAGGCTTTTGCCCAAACTCACTACCCTGACGTTTTCACGAGAGAAGATCTAGCTATGAAAATCAACCTCACCGAAGCCCGAGTTCAGGTACGTTACACAGTTTATTTGCCTGATTTCAAACGATCATTTTGCTGGTATTTAAACAAAGAAGTTTTAAGCATTCATAAAGTCACTGCGAATAAAACCCATTGTGCGAAACCAAATAAAGCGGACTCCGGAAAAGATTAACTGCATATTTCTGAATATAAGCTTACTCGTATATAAGCTATGAAGTAAAACTTTGTTACGAAATCTCAGCCAAACTTTAAAACTCGTTCCTAAGCAGATTTTTAAATCACCATGTAAGTCCAGCTATGTACCAGATCCGTCAAAAAATATACACTCATTTGAAGAAAAGATAATTGAAGAAAAACATCTGAAATACTCGTAGTTCAGATTTTAATGATCATCCAAAAGGATTTGTTAAGTTTTTTTACATTTTTGCTGAGCTCTCAGTCTACCACTCTGTTGTTGCACTCATTGCTGCTGGCTTCATTCCTAAGCACCATTTTCTTTCCACTTACGACATATACGATTCCACAGTAAAATTACCAAAATTTTAAATGCAACATAGCAGTATACTTTTACAATTCCCGTTGCACCGTTAAGTACTGGCATTCGTCTTTCTATTTCTTACAGTCCTTTCTCAGTTTATCTTATCAGTGGTAAGTTTTCCTAGTAAGATGTCTTAAAAAACATTGTTTTGTGTCTGTTTATTATTATTTTATTAATATTTTATTATTATTCTATTAAATTATACAAATTTTTTGCTGCACTTCATTTAAACTTATTTCCTTGAATTTAATTAGAGATACATTTGTCATTCAATCACTTCAGTTCTCATTTCGCGGCGAGGTAAAAATGAGTAAAAACTGAAAACATTTGCATTGAAAATTGTAAAATACGGAAAAACCTAAAACACCAAATGCAGTTAAAAACAAATTAAAATTTGAGTTTCTACGCAAAACCAAATAATCCGGCCGACGGACAGGAAGTCCAAAATTTCGATGCACAAAATTGAACTCAAAAGACACTGAATTTGATACACAAACTGGCTTAAGGATTCCGTTTTAAATTATTTTGTAAATCATTTCTATTTTCTGTTTTAAGTCAAAGAATTATTAAAATAAACATTTTGATATTTATCAATGCTTCAAATACTGAATGAGTATTTCTATGTTTTAACGTTTCTTATAAACTCTGTGCATAAAAATGCCAGAGGAGCAAAAATATTAACCAATAGTTTTAAAATATTTTGCAGTTCTAAATCATAATAGTTTTTATACGTAAAAATATCTGGATTTTCATCAATTTACATTACAAATACAAATAGTTTAACGAATATAAACTAAAAATATACCTTAACATTCTGTAAACGTCACCATTGATCAACTGAATACGTCCACACCACAAACATTCGCCTTTTCTTTAATATAATATTCCAAGATTTTTTTTTCCTCCTCATTTGCATTCTTGAGCTCTCAGTTGAAATATTGAGTACAACAATCAATTTTCTGCCCAGAAAAATACTTTCTTATTTTCATGTATGCACATATTTCTCTTCGTCTTATTTTTCGCTTTCGGAGCCGAAAAATAAATCTTTGTTCAGATTTGAGACTATAACACTGCACTGTTTAATAATTTAATGCCAGGTCCTCTTGATAAATTTTAGGCTTTTGAAGCCTTTTGTTTATATGAAGTGACCTTTATAGTATTTGTTGATTTATGAGGTGTTATAGAATTGTTTGAGAGACCTGTAAAGTATTGGGCTTGCAGGTGAGAACGTTGAATCTTAAGTAATGATCAGCCACGATGAGAGACTAGACTAACAAATATTAGGTGAATCTAATCCGTCTCTTTTTGGGCATGGATAATTTGCTTCTGAAGAATCGAGGCCCGCATTTCATTTCTGAAATGCGTTGACGAAATTTTACAACTTCAACCACTTTTATCACCAACCCTAGTTCACCCTCTATTTAGTACCAGGGGCCGGGAGCTTAAGTCTCTGAACACAAGTAGTTCGACATGGTTTGATGCCAGGCGAACGGGCTCGCTGAATGAGCGTTTCCGTGGATTTCCTCAACGTCAATAGACACACAAGTTTAGGCTCTTTCCAATGCTGACGTCACTTACTTAAACAAGTGAGAGAAATAGACACAAAGGGAGTAGTTGATTTTTACCAGATTGGAAGTCAGTGACGTTACATAAAAGCAAACAATATAACCTTGGGTTTCCTCATCTGTGAATACGAGCCGGTTTCTTGTAGAAGATTCTCCGGAAGTCATCACTCCTGTTACGGAGTTAGTCCTAGCGTGGTTTGCCATAATTAAACAAATTAATTAATATTTATTTAAATTTTATTTATTAAACTTTGTCTTAAAAGTTATAATTTACAATAATACAAATAGTTCGTTTTCACTAATAATGTGTAATACAGGGTGTGACACAAAAAGAAACGAGACTGGTCCAATAAATCACTGTACTTAGAGAATCAGTTCTCCGTGACATTATCACCTTCAAAGTAGTTCCCTTCAGCATTCACACACTTCTGCATTCGGTGCTGCCATAGCTGGTAACAGTTCTGGAACGAGTTTTTGGAAGGCCCTTCAGGAGATTCTCCGTTTATGGCCTGAAGTAAAATGGGTTCCCTTTAAGTAAGATTTAACTTTAGGGAATAAAAAAAGTCGCATAGTGCCAAATGAGATGAATAAGGGGGATACCCCATCACAGTAATGTTTCTGCTGGTCAGAAACTGCTTGACAGATACGGCCGTGTGAGCGGGTGTTCCTGGTGCAATAGCCATCCATCACTCCATAACTGTGGGCTTTTTTTCCTAATTTTTTCACGACGTCTTTTTAATACTTCAGTGTAGTAGTATTGATTAGCAGTCTGACCACTGGAAACCCATTCAGTCATGATAAACGTGCTGGGGGCCCAAGGAGGAGGCACAGCACGTTCATCATTTTCCACACTGTCCCTTCTCCCGGAAAACCGCTTATGCCATTCAAACACACGTGCATGAGACAAAGTGTCATCACCATAAGCCTCGGCTAACATTTGAAATGATTCCTCCGTGGCTGATTTCTTAAGAATTTCACAAGAAACTTGATGTTGATTCGCTGTTCGGTTTTTAAATTAGGCATTTTTCCGGCAGAATGCAGTTGCACGTGTTCACTCAATGACGCAGTATTCCCTACTGGCGTGGTCGGTTAAGTGTAAACTAGCCGCATGGATAGAGGAGGAGGTGTGTAGCATGAGGTCACCAAAACAGTTATCGCCAACTCAACTCTGTTTTCAAGTTACACACTTAGACTCGTTTTTCTTTTGTCTCAGACCTCGTATATAATAATTTACATTAATAATAACGTAATTTTTAGTAACAGTTTACGGAGAAGAATTGATAATGCCAACAAGGGTTCAATTTTTTAAATTTAAGTTCCGTTATTACTAAAATGAATCTTTCTTTGAACTTTAATAATTCAATCTGAATTTAAAATTTAATTCTAGGAGTACTTTTTAATCTTGAAATCGCTTCTTCTTTCTGTCAAGAATTTTTCTTTCACGTCATTATTCCTAACGTTCTTTCAAAATAGTATTTCAAAATAGTATGGCTGGTGCACCGCAGCCAAAGGTGATCCCAATCACCAGTTCCAAAAATAATAAAGTTTACATTTTAAATAAATTTTTGTACTTCCATGTATAAGGGTGAATTTTTGATTGAGGTATCGTCTATGCATTACTTGGAAATAAGTTCTTGATAAATTATATTTTTTTTCCTCCTTCTCAGCAATATTTAGAGCGACTAATTCTTAATAAGAAAGTTGCTTCGCAAGCACTTTTAATTTCATTTCGAAACCCCTTAAAATTCAGGTTTTATTAAAAAAAAAAGGAAGAAAAACTCTCGATAACGTTAATGCAAGAACATCCGGACTTATTAATGCTTGCACGTCATTCAAAATGACTTCAGCTGCACAGCTAAATGCAATTCGGCAAAAATAGCAACGAATTATGATTCCTTCGCGAGTGTAAATGGAAGCAAGCCTACCACTGTTAACATCAGTTCATTTTTTTCATTCTCAGCCGATCAAACGGACTAATTAGTTTTATCTTTTAAAAGTAGGAAATATTCTCAAGACATTTAAAAATAACGCGATATGTAATGACTTCACATTAGTAATTTCTTCACACTCAGAGAGAGAAAATCTAACGCAATCATCCACGGCTCGCCTGTGCATTAAAAAGCAATTACTAGACATCTAAAACGTATAAAGAAATTTGCATTTGTACAAAAACGGGTTCGCAAATAAAAAAAACGCGAACAAATAAATCTGTTAATTAATAAGGTATAGAAATCTTGTAAAAACTGATTTTACACCGAATTATCAACTCTCTGTCGATAACTTGCTCCAATTGAAGCAAATGGGAAAATGGAGGAATGAAAACGGAATGGAAAAGGGAAAAAACAATCGAATTAAATATTCCGGTTTCTCATATTTATTATAATGACACTTTGTGACAAAAAACACTATTAGGAGGTGTTTTGTAATGTTCTTTTGCCATCATCTCGTTATGCAACGTCGAAAACACGGCTTACAAGCAATTTTTCTATCTGTAAAAAAACTTCGCTTCGCCTTTTATACCTAATTAAACGATTTTTTTTTCGTTCGCAGTTGCTTTCGCTTATTCTAATTCTTGATCGAAAGGCGAGAGAGATAGAGAGAGAGAACTACTTAGTGGAAATTCTATTCTCGGTCGACTTAAACAGTTTAAAGCTTTTACGAAAACGTTAATTCTGGCGTAGAGCTAATATGGCGGACTACAAAGAGAATAGTTGAGCAAGAAGACGCTGCACTGCTCCTTGGGTGCATTAAAGGCGGGAGATAACGTCGTTAGGCCAGCGCTGCTTGTAAAAAAAAATCAAATTCAGCAATGTTCATCAGTAATTTGGATTAAACTTGGCGCAGGGAAAGAACGTATAATCATTTTAGCGCTTCTTTGCAGCGATACCTCCGTTCTTTCTTTCTTTCTTCTTCTTCTTCATTCTATCG